TAAATAAATAAATAAATAAATAAATAAATAAATAAATAAATAAATAAATAAATAAATAAATAAATAAATAAATAAATAAATAAATAAATGGTAAATAAATAAATGGTAAATAAATAAATGGTAAATAAATGATCAAAATTTCAGGATAAATTTAAGAAAAGTTAAGTATTTCTTTGCTTTTCCTGTTTTGACTTTTAAGATAATTTTTAAAATGTTAATTTTTCATTTTTGCTGTGGAAATTTTTAAATAATTCAATTTTGACCTATTTTATTTCTTTTCTCCCAGGTTTGTTTTACCTAGAGTAATTATAGTTTACAAATCTTCTCAGTTTCTGAATACTAAATATTTGAAATTTTAAGTGATATCTATAATTTTTTTTACTAACTCACAATTTAACCCTAACAAAGTTGAAATTTGTTCTGGCCCTCTAAGGTCAGATCCAGACACTACAAGAAAAACTATCATAGGCCTAGGTTTTTGGTTGCTGCTGCTGAATGCCAGGTTGGTTACTATCAAGGTCCCTTATTTGTCACCTTATTAGGGAGGAGCAAGCTAACCTAATGTGTATCACCAAGACTTGGCTGTCACCAGAGGGAGAAGCTTCCCTCTTGGTGATATGTCCAGCAAGAGTTACATTTTGGCACCAGCTGAGACCTCAGAGCAGAGTATTGTCATTCAAAAATATCTTTTGAACAACGGGCCATGGTCCTTGAATTTCTGCATGTGAATCCTTGTTCCCGAAGCTGGACTCTCAGGATCAATTGAGGCTGTTGCTGCTGTACCAGTCTTCCTAATGCGTAGTAACTTTTCTGCCTGTGTTTGCTGGAGCCATCTTGGGTTTGGGTCAGTGATGAAATTCATTTTTTTTTAGTACTGGTTCTGTGGGCATAGTTGATGGGCGTGGTGTGGCTTGGTGGATGTGACAGGGGAAGGATACTGCAAAATCTCCATTCCCACCCCATTCCAGGGGAAGGATACTGCAAAATCTCCATTCCCACCCTACTCTCGGGCCAGCCAGAGATGGCATTTGCTGGTTCTTTGAACTACTCAAAATTTGCTCTACTGGTTCTCCAGGACCTGTCACAACCTGCTGGATTTCACCCTGGTTTGGGTAGTAGATTTCTCCAAACTCATTGTTCTGCAGGACTTCAATCTGTCATCCTTGAGGATGGCCTGAGAAGTGGATTAGAGTTTTCGGATCATCACCATTATTATGAATCTATCTCAGGTCATCCATGACCTGACTTGGATAATGGTCACATTCTGGATATAATCCTGTCATAAGTGTCAATGTAATATGGAGGGTGATTTGCTATTATCCCTTCTGTCATGGTTCTGGTGCCCTCCCCCTCTTGCAGGGAGATGGGATCTATTCAAATGAACCATCCTCAGAAACTGGGGAATCTGCATGGATTCCAAAGGAAAGTTTTCATGCAACATTGTGTTGTTCATCAGCTGCACCCTTTCTTGAATTATGAAGTCCTGTGCTGAGTCACTCATGCTTTGGTCATCTCTCATTTAGACTATTGCATTGTGGTCTACTTGGGGTTAACCTTAAAAAATATTAGGAAGCTACAATTAGTATAGAAGGTAGTGGCATAGTCAGTTCTAGAGGCCCCTTAGGGTGGCGCATGAAACACCACTGTTATGCAAGGTACACCGGTTATCAGTTTCCTTTTGGGTCTAATTCAAAGTGTTGATCACTACCTTTAAATTCTTCATGGCATGGTACCAGGTTATCTGCAGAACAATCTCATCACAATGGGATTCTCCACTCCACTCACACTGGCAGAAGGACCATGCTGCAGGCCCTATCATTCAAGGAATTTTGGCTGGCAGAGTCTAGAAAGTCTTTTCTACCATGCCCCCTACTTTGGAATAGCTTGCCACCAAAGGTGCAATCTGCTGCCTCCCCTTTTGAAAAGGGTCTTAAATCCTGGCTCTGCTTATTGGCTTGGGTCTTAATGGATATGTTCCATGCTGGAGATTGCTATGAGTGATAAGAGAAGATTCCACCTCTATATCGTTCATGCTCTTGGTTAATAGTTTTTTATCTGCTTCTTGTTAATTTTAATTTTTTAAATATTATATTTATGATATAACATTGTAAGCCACCCAGAGTTGTTTCGGTTAGTTAGATGGGTAGCATATAAATTTCATTAATAAATGTAAATAAATTTAAAATCATATGTATCCATATGGGGATTGGATAAATAAACCTGTATTAACAAAAATGGAACAGAGAATCTATCTATGCAAAATATGCATTATTTTGTATTTACCATTTGATCATTAAACTTTTGAACTTGGTCCTGACCCCAATTCTTTGGCAATCTGTCTAAGATAGGTGTGAACTCCAGAATCTTTGGATTCTTTTTTATTAATGAAAGCTATTGCTTTTGAGACACAGAATACCATGTTTTGTGCTCTTGTTAAAATCTCATAAAGAGAAATATTGTTAAAACGGTCACTTTTCCCAAATCAGATGGAAGAACAACCATTCCAGTAATCTAGCATGAAGCTGTATGGAACTTATGTTGTTGGTTATTCAGCAGAATTGTGTAATACTTGCAGTTAAACCAAAATTATTTTTATTATATATGTGCAACTTGACTTCCATTTTAGAACAGATCTCTAGCCCTAATTATTGTCTGGTAAAACATTTATGAAATGGAAAAAATAAAGTTTTCATTTGTGTTTGATCTTTCTTTAGGTACTTCAAGGTTCCCCAGAATTGATTGAGCCTAATTTTTTGACTTCAGATTGTCATTTGTTGCTTCATTCTTCAAGTGGCAGTACTTTAGTCCTAGATGACAGACCTGGTAAGTCTATCAAAAAACCATATTACTTAGTAGTTGCTTACGTTGATAATACCCAACAAATATGAATAATTATTAATAAAAGCTCATTTAGACCAACAGTGGACCAAAACAGTATTTTTTCCTACCTTTTATATAGCAGCTGCAGTTGACCATAATCAACATCCCATTTTAAATAATCTAATTTGAAAATAAAGCACATATATGTGTGTGGACTAGTTTATATTTTGTCAGCAGCACTAATTCCATTTTTTCTCTTTTTTAATTTAAAATACAGAATCATACAAGAAAAATAAAATAAAATACAAGATAAAAACAAAGACAAAAAAATAAGTTTATAGAACAAAATATTAAACATACACATAAAATGTCCTTCCTGGTTGAATACTGATAAATATATTTCAGCAATAATTGTTTTCCCTCCCACCTTGCAAAACAGGTTCACAAGTTATGAATTTCTGCATTTATATTTGAAGAATTGCTATATAACATTAAAAATATCACAAATATAGTTATTATCAATCAACCAATTTGACCTATCACATATCCATTATAAAAAACAACAGCTATTCCTAACATCAAAGCTAAACTTCACAGCCTTCTGTTAACAATTTATTATTGTATTTAACTTGCAGAAATAACCTTTAATTTCTTATAAACTCACTGCAGCCATTGTCTCTGATCCAGCCAGGATTAAATGCCCTTGATTGACTCTTGATAATACAAAATCCTTTGCATGTAGCTTTAATCTGATCTACATCGAAGTCATTGACTGGAGAAATAGCATCAAAGGTCTCAAAGATCCAGTTAGTCATAATTACAGTGAGAAGCAATTTCTCCTCTTGGGATCCTGAACTTTTTCTCCAGGAGCAAAGGAGAGGCTGGAGAAAATCATGTTAGTGGTAAATTACAGACACACCCCTGGAGGTTCTGTTCTGTTGTGGTGGTGGTCCTTCCTGTCAGAACATATCCAGAAAATGCTGGGGAAGTTAGTTCAACACCCAGGGAATTGACTTCTGTGTCTTAACATTTGGATCTTGGCCTAGATTAGATTAACAGAGTTAAAAGGGACCTTGTAGGTAATCTAGTCCACCCCCCCCCAAGCAAGATATCCTACACCATTTCTGACAGTCCAAGCTTTTCTTGAAAGCTTCCAGTGATGAAGCTCTCACAATTTCCGAAAGCAAATTGTTCCATTGGTTGATTGTTTTCACTGTCATAAAATAAAACAAAAATAACTCCTTCCAGTTTATCTTTGCTTTTCTTTAAAATTATAAATGGAATCTTTCCAAGCAACTGCTTCTCACTCCCAAAAAACAGGTCTCCATTGAAGATATCTCCATAACACTTCTTGTTTAGTAAATTTTAATAAATTGCAACACCATATGTCTTGACAGCTGTCTTCTAGTTAAATGTGATGGTTCTATTCCACTTTCCCAAGAAAGTCCTATTCATTAATACCCCCTTTAGCTTTCTCCAGCAAATCTCCAGGTTTCAAGCAAATCTGTTAATCATGAATTTCAATCCATTTAATTGTACAACTGACTTTTTTAGTTAGGTTAAGGTTAGGGTTAAAGTGAGGGTGGGGATGGGGTTGCTAGCCTGATGGCCTACCGACGGGCTGCTTCCACGGGTGGTGTCACAATACAGCTGGGAGTGGGGTTTCCCCCCCCTTTACCGTGGGGTTATCCCTGGCTCCCGGGTGCTCTTTGTCCCCGATGGGAGGGGTTGTTGCTGGCCGCCGTCTCCTGCGGCTGGCCCTACAACTTTCGCCATTGCAGCCTGCTTGTCTCTCAGACTTTTCTGACTTCACTCTGGACTATTGCTGGATTATTATTTTTATGCCCCTGCTATTATCCTTGGACCTTTGGACACCCATTTTGGGAGGCTTGGACACTATTCCCCGGCCTCCTTGGACTATACAATTGGCTGGACTGCGCAGACTCATTATTTTTATATATTTGTAATTTTTTACTAATTTTTTTTACAATTTTAAATGTATGGGGAGTGTATGGTATGATTGTGACTGACTGAATGTTCCCACTTTTATTATAATATTGCTGTTCTCTGTTTTTAACTTGTATTGTGGGGATTGATTGGTTGCATGTATGGGTATGCTTGGTGGGCTGGGAGTTTAACCGGGACCTCCTGCACTGAGTGCTCAGGCAGAAGTGCCAGGGGGACCCGGGCCTGGTCCCAGCCCTTGGATGTGTGTGTCGAAGGGCCTGCCGATGAACCTGGCGGCTAGGGGAGAGGGTGGAAGGACCACAGATGCGGGAGTGGGCCGGAACATTGGGGTCATAATGGGGAGGGGCAGATATGGCGGGAACTTCAGGGCAAGCCATTACCGGGGAAGGAGGGTTCCCTATATCAGAAGTATCCCTCCTTCCGGCCCTGTGAGTTCCACTCCAAGGCCAGATGGCGTGAGTAGTCAGGACCCTGGTCTCAGGTTGCTGATGCTAAATGACAGGTCTGTGGTTCACAAGGGCTCCCCTTGTTCAGGACCTAATTACAGACGAGGGGGCAGACCTGGCATGTATTACTGAAACCTGGCTGGACCCGGAGGGAGGCGTCCCCCTCACAGAAATGTGCCCA